GTGTTGTGTGTTGTGTGTTTTTCCAGCTCTGCCCCACCAAGTGTCCGGTGGATCGAGGCTTCCCCAGCCTCTCTGGTGCCTCCCTCCCACGCTCCCCGTGATTGGCGGGGTGTGGGGGGGCCCTCTTTGCCGTGCAGGCCTCTGAGAAGGGGCTGAAGAGCTCCTTCAGCTGCTGTCCGGGCGGTTTGAGGCGCTGACCCTGGGCAGGCCTGGTCACTGGACCTGGTCTCCAGCCTGCCGGGCAGCGCTGTCCGCTCTGCGGCCCCTGTGAGGAAGCCTTGCTCGGGGAGTGGTCTTTGGGCGTAGGCACCTGCGTCACTGTGGCGAGGTCTGCTTTTGTCGCTGACCAGCTGATGACATCCTTGGATGGCTGCCGGCTTTCACCGCGGAGCAAGTGCCGCTGCCTTCTGTGGTGAGCAGAGTGAGAGTCGGCCGGGCAGCGTTGTTTGTAGCTGAAGGCAGGCCGGGCTGCGGGAAATGGATGGTGACGGCTGTAATTTGGCCCTATTACTTATTCATTAACCGCATGCAGGTGGTCAGCCAGCCGGCAAGACCTGCTCTTTGAAATTTCATTTTCTAGAGGACTCCTTGTGTCTGCACTGTGTGGTGTTAATTTAATGTCTCCTTCCCACCCGTGGTCCCCACAGGTGCTGGCGGTCACTGCAGAGTGTGCAGCCACGGGCTCTGACTCCGGGGACTGGGAAAGGCCTCTCTCATTCATGCCAGGGCCCAGCTGGGGTCCCTGGATGCTGACCCCTGTGGAGGACGAGAGCCCCTTTGGGTAGGAGGACTTCTCCTCTCTCCTCCCAAAGCTCTCCTTGGCACTTGAGGGGGGAGTGTGTGTGGGGTGACAGCAGCTTCTCTGCTGACCCATCCTCTCCAGTCTGGTCTTTTCTTTTTTTCTTTCTTTTTTTTTGTTTTGAGACGAACTTTTGATCTCATCACCCAGGTTGAAGTGCAATGGCGCAATCTCAGCTCATTGCAACCTCCACCTCCCGAGTTAAAGCGATTCTTCTGCCTTAGCCTCCTGAGTAGCTGGGATTACAGCCATCACATCCGGCTAATTTTTTTGTATTTTTCGTAGAGATGGGGTTTCACCGTGTTAACCAGGATGGTTTCGATCTCCTGACCTTGTGATCCGCCCGTCTCGGCCTCCCAAAGTGCTGGGATTACAGGCTTGAGCCACCGCGCCCGGCCCAGTCTGGTTGTTTCTATCCAGACTTCCCATGCGATGGGGCCTGACGTGAAGTACCATTGCTGGACCGCAGACTCCCTACGGGACAGTGTGCAGACCCTTCCTCCTGCCCTGGCCAGCCTGGTCTGCGGGAGTCCAGAGCCCCCCAGGGGCCTCTCCAGCCAGCTTTGCAGGGCTTGTGTGGCCACACCTCTTTTCTCATCGGCCCCACCAAATCATGGCTGCCAAGCCTTCGGTGACTGGTTTGACGTGGAAGTCTGGCACGCATATCCCTTAGGGTGACGTTTAAATGGTTTTTACTATAATTAGCCCCCAAACATGAAAAATAAGTACTATCCAAACTTAATTATCTCTGCCCTTTAAGAGAGAATGAAATGCACAGTTGCCAGAAAAGCTGTTTGTAGCTTTTCAGGTTTTATCTGTCGAATGGCTCCTCTGTTGAGAATCAGACCTCCGGCTCGGGAGGCGCTTTTTGGCAGGAGGGGCCAGAACGCATTTCCTGGTGGCTTCCCTCTGCACAGTTGGGGTGAGTTGGGAGGTTTCAGGCCCCTAACGGGAGTGGAGGTGACAAGGTTAGGTGCCACACTGATGGCTGAGATGCTCCTCTGTAGGGCGCTGGCCTCAAAATCATGTCCTTTGTACTTCCCCAGTCTGCCGTGAGGTTGCTTTCCACTCCTGTCACAGTTGGAGGCAATGAAGGGAGGGGGGCTAGAGGCAGAGCTGGGAACAACTGAGGACGCAGGGTGTCTGTTATGGAGCCAGAAAGTCCAGGGCTGATGGCCCTCCCTTTTGTATTTCTGACACATGCTTTTGTGCCCGGTTGTGGGGTCACCTCGGTGCCGAGAGTGTGGTTGCTCAGTAGCAAAGGGTCTGCAGGCTTCCCTTGAGCCAGCTGCACAATAAGCCTTGCGTCTGGGGCCTCCGGAGTCCAGGCTAGGCGCTCGTCATCAATTCCTGCCCCGTAACTGCTCGAGGCCGTGCTAATGGAGGTGTCAGACCTTGACCATTTAGCTTTTGAGTCTTGTCTCAAATGCACAAGTGAATGTGACTGAATCATGCAAATTTAATTAACAGCAGGAGCTTGATAACCCGTGATCATTTCAGAGAAGCCAAAAGGGAGAGAAAGCAAAGGGCATTGTGGGCTGCACTGAGCAGCTGATTGATCACGGTGAGATCTCCTGGGCCCTCGGTGTTCCTTGTTGTTGCTCGCTGCAGCTGTCCCTGGGCCCTGTGGCCGGTACTTCCTGGTTTGGGTGGGGAGGGAAGTGGTGGAGGACTCAGAGAGAGGAGCGGATTCTGTTTCCTGGGGGTGATGCTGGTCCTTAGTGTCACAAAGGCTGAGAATGGCACTTAGGACACCAGGAGCTCACTCATGAAGGTCGTCACCTGCGAGTCCCAAGGTTCCCTCCCTCCACCGTGTTCTGTGGGGTTCCCCAGGCACATTGTCCTCCACAGCCCCTCTCTCCCCGTTATCAGTAGAAGGTCTTGACTGCAAGTTGTCCAGGTTGTTGCCATTTTGAACAAAGAATTGAACATAACCCCCAAAGAAAGGAAAGAATGAAGCAACAAAAGAACGAGATTTATTCAAAATGAAAGTACACTCCATAGTGTGGGAGCCGGCTGAGCAGAGGTTCAAGGGCCTAGTGACAGAACCTTCTCTGGTCCAAATACCCCCAGGAGGTTTCCCATTGGCCACTTGGTGCTCACCTTGTGTAAATGAAGTGGTGGCCTGCAATCAGTCTGATTGGTTGCAGAAAGCAACCTTTGTAGCTTCACTTCTAAAACCTCTGTAACTTCTAAAGTGAAGTTAGAAAGTTGCATTTGTGTGCAAACCAAGACTCCACTTGTTATATCAGAGGTACTTTCAATTTCCCATCTGCCTCAAAAAAAAGGGGATTTGCAAAAAGAGCAGCCTCTGGTCCTTTGTTACTTAGGTGTGGAAAGTTAGGATTTTCCTTTCAATTTAGTTCCAGGAAGTCTGCATGAAAGAGCCCTAGGTTTCTTGCCTCCCGACCCTGTTCTCCTGTCTCACCACCACCCCTTGACAGCCCAGGAGGTACCATCCGGAGACCATGTGCTGTTTTTTGTCAGAGGCCTATTGGGGACCCAGCGCCTCGTGACTGTAATGCTGTGAGGTCACAGACAGCTGGGGGGCTGGGGCACGGCTGGGGATAGAGCCCCTGTGATGAGGTGGGGCCCAGGTGTGGGATGGCGTAGGACCGAGTGCGCGTGTGTCATTGGACTTGGCTCTCAGTGTCTCCCCCGTGTGGTTTGTGTTCCTTTCCCCTTACGTAAGCTCCGTCACCAACAACGACATTTACTTATCTGCTGACCAAGAGCCTGGGGGTGGCAGCTTGCTGGACCCAGACTGGAGGTCTGCCTAGCACAGCTGTGACCAAAGGGCCCGTCAGGAGGTGGACGAGGGCTGCCCAACTTCGTCCATTCTGTGTCTTCTCGCTGGCAGATTTTTCAGGGGTAATGAGTAAGCTTGAGTTTTTCTCATCACATTGAGCAATACTGATATTGACTTTCTAAAAATGTTAATTTGTGACTGGGCATAGTGCCTAATGCATATAATCCCAGCACTTCGGGAGGCTGAGGCAGGAAGATTGCTTGAGCCCAGGAGTTTGAGGCTGCAGTGAGCTGTGATTGTGCCACTGCACTCCAGCCTGGGTGACAGAACAAGATGCTGTCTCTAGAAAATAAAATAAACATTGTTGTTATTGTTATTTGAGATGGAGTCTTGCTCTGTCACTCAGGCTGGAGTGCAGTGGCGCGATCTTGACTCCCTGCAACCTCCACCTCCCGGGTTCAAGCGATTCTCCTGCCTCAGTCTCCTGAGTAGCTGGGACTACAGGCGCCCGCCGCCATGCCCTAATTTTTTGTATGTTTAGTAGAGACGGGGTTCCGTCGTGTTAGCCAGGATGGTCTTGATCTCCTGACCTTGTGATCTACCTGCCTCAGCCTCCCAAAGTGCTGGGATTACAGGTGTGAGCTGCTATGCCCGACCTTAAAATAAACTTTCCTTTAAAGATGCTCCATGAAGATCTGGCAGACAGATTGTTCTATGCCAGAGAGGGTGGGGTGCACTGGCTGGCTACCCTGGTGGACTGTCTCTGGCAGTGGAGGGGGATGATAGGGCTTTTTGTCTGCAGCGGCTGGCTGCAGGTGGCTAGGGTCACAGAGGAGCAGGGGTTGCTGAGGAAAGCAGCTGTGGTTCATCCGTCACTCCGTGGCCCAATGTCCTTTGCCCTCCAAGCGTGTGTTAGGCAGACCTGTTCGGTGCCGAGTGCTGGTTGCTGGCCGTGATGGGGATGGGCCTGGGGCTCCATGGCCTGGGCTTGGCAGGCAGGAAGGTGACCATGCTGAGCCATTACCAAGCCCTGATCCTGGCATTCCTTGTGCTTTTCTTTGAGGATCCATTCCAAGGAGCACTTCAAGGAGAAGTATGCCGTGGATGACGTCCAGTACGCAGATGAGGTGGGTAGCTGGCTCCTCCTTTGAGCAGCCCAGGGCTTCCAGCATGCCTTCCGCTCCTGGAGTTCCTCTCCTTCCACTGCCACAACCTTGCTGGATGTCAGGGACGCTACCGCCTGGCCACCGGCCCCCACGCTGGGGGTGCTGCCATCTGGAAGGAGTAGGCAGCAATCCATGCGTCAGGCTTCTCTGCGGAGCCATTGCTTTGCCTGGGAAGGCCTCTGACTCTCTGGGTGGAAGTGTCTGGTGACCTGGGTTGTGGCCGCTGAGATGCATGAGGTGTCTCTGAGGGGCGGGCCTGCCTGCAGCGGTGGCACACGATCTAAGTCACCGTGAGGCTAGGCCGAGGCCTTTGTGCGTCTCGAGTCCTGCTGATGCCGCTGTCAGAAAAGCCTGAGGCTGTGAAAGGCTTGTAGAGTGGCGCTGGAGGTCCCTTGACTTCAATCCACTTCTCAGTGGGGTTGTCCATCTGGTGTCATGTGGCCCAGGTAGGTGTGTGACTGTCCTCTTGGGGTTTTGAATCTGTGCCAACCAAGTCCAGGCAGGTGAAAGGGGCTGCCCTGACTCCTCGACTCCAGCTCTCCTTCCTGCCAGTGGGGCAGGGCTGGGACAGAGGCGAGAGCATAGCTGGGAGCCCCTGTGGTCTACGTGACCAAAGGCCCTGACACTAAACCACTGTCTGGCACACAGGAGGCCTCTGCGCTCTGGCCCTGGGCGCTCTCACAACCCGACATCCTGTGCCGGTCAGTGCAGTGTGGAATGCGAAGCACCCGGAAGTCCGTGCCTGCCACTGGGAGTTCAACCTGGACCCGGCAGCATCGGCTTTGGATGGGGCCCTCCCGTAGCCACATTTCCACAGACAGAGATGGCATGTGGCCCATGCTAAGAGCCGGGGCTGCAGTGTGGAAGTGGCCGGGGGAGCTCTGGCGGCCAAGCAGCTTCCCCCTTCCTCTGGGCAGGACACAGCCTGGTTGAGAGGCAGGTTCCCAGGGATCATGGCCGGACACAGTGCTGTGAGAGGCCAGTTTGTCTCTGCCCAGCTTGTGGGGCCCAGCCCGGCCCGGCCCGGCGCAGCCAGCTCGGAGGTGGCCAACTCTCTTTGACTCCAGGCAGGCCACTACCATGTGCCCAGCCCTGCGCCTAGTTCTGCTGTCCTGGAATATGTTTTCCTTTTCTCTGTCTTTCTGCTGTCCATCTTTTGAGACCTTGCACCAGCCCCTGTATCTGCTGTAGACTCTGGTCCACACTGGTGCCCCTTCCCTGAGCCCTCAGGACAAGTTGTGGACACCATGGAGGCTGACTGTGTTCTGCTGTGCACTCTGCCCTTGACTGTCTTGTATTTGTCTTGAACACCCAGTTCTTTTCCCCCAGACGTTCCTCTTGCACTCTCTCCCTGCCCAGTCCCAGGGACATGTAGGGCATCAGAGGTGGCTGAGACGCAGGGCTCACCTCAACAGCCCAGGACACAGTCCGGTGCAGGAGGTGACCACATGAGTGAACAGTCACCGCAGGGTGGTGGTGCCTGGGCAGAGGTCCCCAGGAGGGCCTCTGTGAAGGGGCACTGCCCACCTCTGCAGGGCCACGGGGGCCTGTCTCTACAGCATCTTCTGCCTGGTTGGACTGTGGAGAGAGGAGGCTTTTGGTGGATCTTTATGTTATTTCAATCCCAAGCTTTTGGGGTTGACTCTTAACATCTGAAGATTCTGTCAATACACATGTGACCTAGCGTATCGATTCCTTTGAGTACAGGATCTAAAATAGACTGAATGTTTATTTGCATGCCCCCAACAAGACCATCTGCCTCTTACCTTGTATGTCTCGGAACTGGAGCGGGAGGCACCTACTCATTCATTCCCATTTTGCTTCTGACCCTCTCCATGGCAGATGTGTTCCTTGCCCCAGAAACTGCTTCTTAACACTGTTGCCCTTTGAAACCTTGACCCTTCAGCTCTCCTCGATGTGAAACCTGGAGGGACAGCCTGGGGTGGGCTGTGTCTCAAGGACCCTGGTGGGGCGGGCACCTGCCTCCGACTTGGACTCGGCTGCTGAGTCCGAGCCGC